CTCACACACACACACTCACACACACACACACACACACAGAGGAAAGCCCCTGCTCTGTTGTGTTTCTCTCTGTTCTCTCACCTGAGAGTCGTTCTGCTTCCTGTTATAATTAAAGGCTGTTCTGTGGAGCTCCTGTCGGCACAGGCCGAGTTAAACCGTAAGCATATAAACCCAACCAGCTCGTGCTGAATCACTGCTGGAGATTCCCTGCTCTGCGGACATTATTGTTTCCAGTAAAGATCTAAACAATCGTAATCCTTGTTGTGTTCTGGTCATTTTGAGCCATAGAGGATTTTTCTTTTTCCTGAAAATGCTAGTTAATGTAATCGCATATCGCATGGACTAAAACTCACTGACTCTGCTCACACATGGTATAACAACTTGCCAAAAAACAATGACTTGTAATGCTATATTATTACCAAATCTTGGATTCAATCTTGTTTTCTTTGAATTTGCACAGGTTTTGTGTTTCTTTTTGGAGCTGATTGATCGTAGGCTTCATTGATCTGAACTCATGCGTCTCAGCTTTTGATTGAACATTACAAACATTATCCACAAATAATGCTTATTTCACTCAAAAACTGAGGCCTACAATCAGTCAGTTCCAGAAAGAAATACAAAAGCTGTGCAAATTGAAAGAAAACATGTTGACCAAAAGATTGAATCCAAGATCTGGTGGTAATATAGCGTAACAAGAGATTAACATGCACATTTTTGTAGGCCGATCATTTTTGATAGCAAACACCAAATTAGGTAAAAGAGTTTCACAGCACAAAAATCAAGATATGCTTACTTTTGAAAGATCTACATCTGTTCCACAAAATTAAACATCTAGATTTTGTTTTTTATGTTGCACTGGAATACTGTAAGAATAAATTCCCCTTAGGATGCACTTGGATCGGTTTCTTACACTTCAGGACAGTAGTTCTCAACAGAAAGGCTTCAAGATGACTTAAAAAGCTTGAAAATTAGACAAAAAAAGCTATAAAATAAGCTGAAACTATTCCTAAATTTAATTCACCCCCAAACTTCTGGAGTTCAACATTTTCATGATTTTAATTATAATTATTTTATTTACTTTTCCATCTACAGACCTTGCTAATTTCTGTAAATTAAAAAGGGGGACACTTTTGAATATTGTTGTGGTCAAAATGAATGAGAACCACTGCATTAAGAGCCTCAGCCACTGACTAAACATCTACTAGAATGGCATGATGAAATATCAGTTGTTTAAGCGAGTGAATGTGGATGGTGTTTGTGTTCAGACAGTGTAGCTGTGATCTATAACTGGACTTTATTGACCAGCTGAAGCCGTTGATGGACACTGAGCTGAAGCGCCTGCAGCTGGACGCAGGTTATTTCAGCTGCTCTTCCAGAATATTCCTTCATTTCCAGCTCACTGCCTCTCATTAGACCCAAACTAAACTGTGAACGGGGATCTGTGTGTGAGTGTGTGTGTGTGTGTGTTTCTGTCCTGATCTTTACAGTGTTCAAAAGTTTAGAGTCTGTAATTTTTTTTTAAATGTTTCTGAAAGAAGTCTCTTCAGCTCATCAAGGCTACATGTATTTAATCAAAAATACAGTAAAAAAAAAACAGCTGTTTTCTCTGTGAATATCTGTTAAACTAATGTATTTCTGTGATGCGCAGCTGAATTTTCAGCATCATTACTTCAGTCTTCAGTGTCACATGATCTTCAGAAATCATTCTAATATGCTGATTTGCTGATCAAAAATAATTTCTGATTATTATCAATGTTGAAAAACAGTTTGAATATTTTTGTGGAAACTGTAATACTAATGAGTCAATAGGGAAATGTTTTTATTGCTTTTAAACTGTCTTTTCAATAGAGATTGACACAAATAAATAATATTTAATACACTGGAAATGGAAGGTCAAGTTGAGTTCATTGCATTGTGGAATAGATTCAACTGTTTAACTGTATTTTTATTATATTTTGATTCACAAGGTTATCTTGATAATGTTTAACTGTTGTGACAAAAACATGTTTTTTTTTGTCAAATGCTGTGTCTCTTTATATGCTATATGTTTATACAACAGTTCTTTCTGGTCCTCGAATTTGATTGGCTGATAAGAGTGTGATATTAGAGGGATAACAGAACTCGTCAAATCCACTAAAACTTTAAAATAATACTTTTTTTGTTACACGGAATGTAGTTCTAAGAGTTTTTTTAGGCGAGAATGTTGTTGTTTAGACTTCAAATATGCGGTTTGTTAATAAAGATAACGTCTATTTGAACATTTGCTTCGATGTTTCCGGAGACGTGAGCTCCAGGGCGTCAGCGGCCGTTCAGCACTCCTGAACCAG